TCATATAAAAGTAGATTGTCCAATTAAATATTTTAGGGGAACTATACTAACACAGCTACACTAGAGGTTTTAGTGATTCAAATCATAAACCCAGGCTAAAAGGGAAAAAGCCACTTTAAAAATAAAACATTCTAAAAATTGATGAAGTCTGATAAATAAAATTACAAAAGAATAGCATAACATACTACTAAAATGACTTCAATAATACTAAGCTCTTCAAGTTGAAAACTTAAAACAGAAGAGTAAAGTTTTACCTAGAATCCCCATCTTTAGTATCAATTGAATTTTTGTTCTCTTAGATTTATGAACTCATTCTAAATCTAATCCATTTTAAAACACAGCAATACTTTTTATGGCATGCAGAAATGTAATTGTTAAGCGTTTTGGTAGAGAATATATGATGTAATGTATAGTGTTTTTATAGAACTATTCTGTATTAGAGTCATTGTATACCTCCATTTATATATGGAAAAGAGGCAATTTGCAACTATGAGATTTTGAAAACACCCATGTTTRTCAATAAAAACAACTTACAAGGTGAAAATGTAGGAATTTAGCATAGTCCTTTCCCAATTACATCTTTATAAATTAACTGTCCAGTAACTGGATTTCGAGCAGGTGGAAAAAATTAGTTAAAATTTTTGGAATATGAGAAGTAATCAATGTCTTCCTGATTTTAACACTTCACAGGATAAAAGAAAGAAAAAGAAAAAATTATTATGACTTTATAAATTTTGAAAATGCATGTGGAAGGCAATTGAATTATGCATGATTGAATATATTTTGAATTTCTAATTAATCTTTTAATTTTATCAGTCATAACATTCTGGTTTTCTGAACATTGTCTTTTAAAATGTTGTAATTTTTATATATCATTGCTTATGGCAGAGTTATATTTGGGGATTAGTATAGTAACATTTACTATGAGGTACTTCAATTGAAGAAAACCATCAATTTCTGACAGAAATCATAAATCTAAATTTAAAAATAAATGGAAACCAGAAAGCAAATATGTTGTGTACTGCTTCACACTTCAGAGGTAATGTTTAAGCATTCGTTTCTTTTAACATATGTAGAAATGTAACAAATTTTACCATAAAAGCACCAATTAGTATTACCTAAAAACAGTAACATTTCAATAAACTGTGATAGTATATGGAATCAGTAGATTGCTTGCATTAGTAACATATTTGTATCCAGCATAATAGTCGATTTGTTCATGAAATTTTATAATGCATAATTTCTGGGAAAACACAGAAATAAAATGGAGTACATCATAAATCACATAAATTACCATTGACTACTTAGCATATCTGAATATATCATCAAAATTCTTAATTTCAAAATAACTAAAGGACATATCAGTATTTCTTGTGAAAATATAGTAGAAATAATATTTCTATATACAAAGTTTCAGAGAAACATACCAGTTACAACTTATTTATCCACACTTAAATTAATGTATTATGACTATGTATATCAAATAAAATGCAAAATATACTTTTAATGAGTTTAATTTTAAATATTTTGATACTCATCTCAAATTACAGGTGTACAGAAGAATGACATTTTTTAAAAGAATCATCATAAAGATTGAAATAAGATTTTATGTTAAACTTTTGGAATGTTTGATATGTTTAATCCCTCTTAAAATAKTTTTGTGTGTGTGTGTGAGTTTTATCTCAGTTTTTACTATTGAATCTCATTTCTTTTAAGTGAAGGGAACAATAGGTATACATACTTAAAAAGTTTAAAGAACTTAATGTGTTTAAAATAATTTTGGTCAAGTATCCTCCACAAGATAATTAGCTTACATTTTCATATAATCAGTCTCTTTGTAATGGGCTATTTGATATTAAAACTTTGCATAGTATGTTGACATTGATATAATATTTTCCTCAGGGCATTTAATATATTGTAGATATAGCATAAATAATATGTCATAAATAGTTTAAAATGACTTATACAGTTTTTTATAACTATTGTAACTTTTACCATTCATCTTTAATATAATTACTGAAAAGACATCTTTTGCCATTGAATTTTATAGACGCGAACACTGAAGTGGCTATTATAAGAACTATGACAGATTTTTTTTCTCTCTTATTATATTGAAAAAAAAAACCTCTGTGGCCTACAGAATAAAAACCAGTATTCTACCTTGTTACAAATATTCTCATAAATGAGATGTTTTAAATGTATGGAATAATTAATAAATATTTAGAAATACAGAGAAAATTTTAAAGTCACATTTAATTCTGAAAGGCAACAAATCCTCCCATTCACTTCTTTTTTTTCTGTGTATCACTTTTTCCCCATCCAAATAACATTTTGTTTATATTATACTTTCTATTAGAAATCTGGACTTCATAATTTTATTGATATTAAATATCTCGTGTCTTCAATTAAAAAAGTCCTTTCTTACTAGCTTTATTTTAATTGCCTGACTTTGGAAGTGATTTTTTTCCTAATTCTTTTCTATTTCATTTTTTTCCTTCCCATATTGCTGGTCTCACAGAAGTTGATGGACTGAGGTAGGTTGTAGAGAAATTTCTAGACATTGTTAACATCTGATGCAGTAAATGAAAAAAAAAAAAAAAAAAAAAAAGCTAGTCCATTCCCTGGGTTGATTCAAGAAGTGACAGCTCCTGGAGATTAAAGCTTTTGTTTTCGAGTTGCTAGTTACCTACAACTCACTGGTTAATTCAAATTCATTAATTTATGAATTAACTTCTTTTAAACACATGTAATGCAAATTTAAAGAACCATTATGAATGTTTTTTACTGATGTCTGCAGATGAAGTCTATTTTTAGTTAATCTTGTCTAACACTTTCTGCTTTGCCTCTAGCTGACAGCATTGTACTATGTAAATATTTCTGGTTATGTATATTGAGGTGGTTGCTTAAATTTTAGTTTGAATAAAAACTTAAAGCTTTTACCCCGAAGCCATAGAGTAGCTACAGGAGTTAGGGAAGTTTAGTGTTACTCTTTGTACTTCAACTTTTAATATCAGAACACATATTGAAACCATAAACACAATGAAAATCCAAAACCTATTCCTACGATATTGGAGGAATACACTCYCCCCCTTTATTTTTAAAGAGCCAAGGGCGTGGGGATAAATATTTTTAAGATGTAAGTTCTGAATGCCATCCTTCAGTATTAAACCCCTAAAACTTGCAAAGTAAAGAACACCCCCACAYCCCCTTTCAAAATCTAAAGCAATATTAGATTCCCCAAATATCAGCAAAAAGTCTTACCGTCAAAAAGCTTGCTGCAGGTCCCAGCTCAGACCCAGACTGAGGAGTTGAGCAGCTGGTGAGCAAAAGTTTTAGTTCTTTTTTTTTTTTTTTTTTTAAACGAAGTCTGCAAAACTAATTTCCCTCAAAATAGGGCTCAATTTCCGTTAAAGAAAGCAGCACTTACAAATCTCAGAATTCCTGATCAGCCCCACTCCACCCCACCTCTAAGAAATGGGAAACAATTCGATCTTTTACGTGGATGTGAAGGTTTATTTCGAAGCCACTATTCCGGAGCACTCCTTAAACTTTTGAAAAGGGAGTCAGGCTGAAGCTGGAGGGGCTGGGCGAGGGGAAAGGTTCTGCCTTAGGGACACCCTTCCAAGATTAATCAATACTTTTTTTCTAATTCAGACCAGATGTCTAGCCCAGTTTGCTGTGCCCATTAATCCCATTACCCACTTCAAAGACCTGGTCACCATCCTCTGGACACCTGAGACAATGAAAATAACGGGGCAACACTGCTGGTGGCACATTCAGGGCCCAAGCAGGATAGGTGACTGCAGATATTCTCCTGATGTGACACTTCCCAAACAGAACCTGGCTGTTCCTGCATCTCATTAGGTGCTGCTGCTTGTTGTGTGTAAAGGATTCTGCCCCCAGCAGACCGCAAGCAAGTGGCTATAGGAAGCCCAGTCCCCGCTTTCACAAATTCACTGGTGGCAAATTTTCTAACTCMCCTTTTCAGGGATGCGAATTTTAACCAGGGCGACCTGAAGAGCTAGCAAATTCTGGTGGGTACTGAAGTGTAATCTTTCTCAGTAAACGGAACAGTGGTGGTGGGAAAGAATGCGATTACTTATTTTATTTTTATTTTATTTTTAAGGAAGAGAAGGTGAACTACTGGAAGGAAATGAGGTGGTTACTGAAGAAAGTGAGGTTTGAAATATGCGTGCGATCTACATTTCTCATGTGACAGGGATGAAATTGCTTTGAAATATTTTTGACCCAGGGAAAATTTGGTAGACAAGTGGCTAGGAAACTGAGAGAGATCAGAAAAGTGGAGTAAGGTCTGTAAGGTCCAGGAAGGGGGACACCCCTTAGCATCGCACGTGAGATGCGGGGCACTGATGTCCACAACTTTCTTTGCCCTTACGCTTTCCCGCCAGTTTCCTCTCCTTTCCGTTTAGAGAACTTCCCTTTGCCATCCGTTCGTACATAACTCTGACTTGGAGTCCCTCTTTACAACCCATCTATAGACACTAGCGTTGAAAAGAAAGGTGCGTCTCTGAGCTCAGGGAAGAGGGAGATGTGAAGTTTGGAAAACTTCCGAGCGTGCGCCAAACTAGCTCTGTTCACGTCTACCGTGCTCCTCAAGAGCTAGTCGCACGCTTAGCTTTCCTGCAGGTGACAGTTCATAAGCGGCACTAACAAATCGCATTTTCTGGGACAAGTGAATGGGTAGCAAACTAGAAGCATGGTTGGAGAGGGGGCAGCCTGAGCCTGAGGCGCGGGGCCGCTGCCCGTTCCGGCGGGAGTTAGGCGCCCGGCGCGCAGCTTGTAGTCCTGGACGCTGACTGGGTTGGGCGGGCGTGGACGTGCGGCGTCTGTCCAGCAAGCTATGCGAAGTGGAAGTGAGAGCGCGTGGTGGCGCAGACTGAGCAGGAGTTTTGGAGGGAGTTTGCATGTGGTCAGCGCTGGGCTCCTAAGCCAGCCCCCAGCTCACATTACACTCTATTTATAACCTCTCAGAGTCATTTCCCCCTGAATGCAGTTCTCTGGGACCACCTTCTTTTGGCTTCAACTGCTCCCACTCTTGACATCTGAGCTGCTCAGAGGGAAGCTTCTCCAGGTCCGAGTGTTTATATGTAAAGGAGACTGGCCGCTAGGGCTCAGGACCGGGATTATCCAAGCTCTGCAGAAAAGCGAGAGGCTATTACTTTTGAAGGGGGAAAAAGTCACACGATTTCCAGTGAAAAGTGACAGAGGGTGGTGGTGTTTGGAACCGTCCTGAAGTCTTCTGCCTGGATTCCAAGACTTGCATGCTATGGAACACCCGCTCTTTGGCTGCTTGCGCAGCCCGCACGCCACAGCGCAGGGCTTGCACGCATTCTCTCAGTCCTCTCTTGCCCTCCATGGAAGATCTGACCATATGTCCTACCCCGAACTTTCTACTTCTTCCTCGTCTTGCATAATCGCAGGATACCCCAACGAGGAGGGAATGTTTGCTAGCCAGCATCACAGGGGGCACCACCACCACCACCACCATCACCACCACCACCATCAGCAGCAGCAGCATCAGGCTCTGCAAACCAACTGGCACCTCCCGCAGATGTCCTCYCCACCGAGTGCGGCTCGGCACAGCCTCTGCCTCCAGCCTGATTCCGGAGGGCCGCCGGAGCTGGGGAGCAGCCCGCCGGTCTTGTGTTCCAACTCTTCCAGCTTGGGCTCCAGCACTCCTACCGGGGCCGCGTGTGCTCCTGGGGACTACGGCCGCCAAGCATTGTCACCCGCGGAGGCGGAAAAGAGAAGTGGCGGCAAGAGGAAAAGCGACAGTTCAGGTAAGAGCGTGCAGAGCACCCTTCTAGAGAGTGCATGCCATTTGGAAAGGGGGCGGGGAGATGCCAGGAAAGATTCTCGCACTACTGTGAGAGGACTGGGAAGATGAGAAAAGTCTTGCCCTCTGGCTCCCGGTGGCCAAATCCGGCGGTGCAGCTTTGGTTCGGTTATTTGGAGGCACGTGTTTTCCTGAGGGTAACACATACATGGCCAGCAGCACTAAGCTTTCCAAGATCCCAAACTAGTTTACCAGAAGGTTGTGTAAAAAGGGCAAGCGACAGTATGTGAAATCGATTGCGAGGCATGACAGTCCATCAGACACACACGCCGGGARGGGTGTGTGCCCTGGGATGCAGCGTCTGTTGGGCTGGCGTGCGTGCGGGGTGCTGCTCCTTGACTTTTTGCTTGCACATTCCCTACTCAGAGTGGCTTGATTTTTCCCATCGTTAACTGGATTTCCAAATTATTGCACAATGTTTGGAACTTGTAGTGGAACTTGGCAGAGTGCATGAGAAAAAAAAAAGTTTTAGTTTTTTTTTTTTCAATATTCTCATTTTAGAGTTCTTTAAATAGCAACCTCTTCCAAATGGTAAAATATTCCTTTTCGCKGAGGGAAGGAGACATTATCTAAGAATTTAGTGTTCAAGGAATGCTTCAGAGAATTATTAATAAATAGATGCTTAGGGTGGTCTTGAGGAAAGACCATTCTTAATCACAGTTCATGTTTGTGTGGTGTTAATCTTCTAAAAAAAAAAGAATCCGAATTTCAAAAGTAGAAAATAAAATCCTCTCTCAATTGGACGATATCTGGACAAGTACCGAGAAGCAAACAGCAACTTGGGTAGTGCTGGTTCACTTCTGGCTTAAAGGTGATATGCTAGCGTGTGCGCCAGAGCGCTGATCTATAAGCGAATAAATTGAGCAGACTCCTCAGAACCTCCTTGAACTCTGGTGTCTGAAGGTGCTGTTTTACCGAGTACATTTTAAGGATCTTGAGGAACTGAAAGTTTTCCAGACAACTCTTCTAAGCCCTTAGCTATCTCTATCATACAATTTTTAAAAGATAGTTTATAAGGGAAGAAGTAGTGAGTTTTCTGCCATGGCTATAGCGCAACCTGAATTCCATCTTTTTGGAAGGTGTCATTTTACAGTGCTTGATTTTTTTTTTTTTTTTGAGCAATTGTGTCACTAGTCCTAAAAGATAATTTCAGGTATTAGTTTGAAAAATTGAAAAATGTTTATTCTCTATAAAACTTTAGCCAAGATGCTTTATGAGTAACAATAACTGAAGCTATTTCATATTACCTTGTAGCAATGGCATCAATTGTTCTTTAGTGTTCTTATGGAGTGGATGCTTCTGTCAAGGTCTCAAAATCTAACTTCTACTTTCAGAGGTCAAGAGTGTACTTTTAATGCTCCCTCACAAATAAGTTTATATCTAACAAAGTTACCAGCTTTATCACTCATTTTTATAACTATAAATGTAATTCTCTTAAGACAATGAGTTGAAAGGCTAATCTTATGGTAAATGTTTCCATTATCCTTAGAAAAAAAGTAAATTTTAGAATGCAGTGAGCATTTCACAGACTGGACATTGAAGATGAGTCATTTTGGTACACATATCTCAGTGCAGGTTAGTCAGAGTACTTTTAAGATTACTGGAAAATCTTACTGTTCATTTTACTTTCTGCAATGAGGAACCTATGTGATGGATTGTTCCTTATGCTTCCTGAACTGAATCAATGCCCTTAAGTTTCTTAGGGCAAAAATAATATTCATACAAGCATGTTACTTCTGGTTGGGGGAAACAGAGAAATTAGGATTCCAGAACTTATGCCCTTAAATTATTTTAATAAAAATGTTCATTTAAAAATAGTTAATTACCATCCCCCTTCATCATTGGAAAATAACACAATAACAAAATAAACCTTAGTTTTACAATTGAAGTGGATAAGTAGGGTATTGGAAAAACAAACAAAATAAAAATTTGTGTCAGTTGCTTAACACGACAAAATCACTCATTCTGAGTTTTKTCTTTGAAGGATATTTTGAAAGAATATTTGACTAACAAAAAGCAAGTACCACAAAAGTTTCTGGTTAAATCTATCTACTGTAAACTTGTTGAAAATAAAATTCAACTTGCCAGTTTCAATGTCTGAGTTAATATTTATGAGAACAATAGATAAGTTTGAATTTAAAATATTTTTCTCCTACAATGATATTGGATCTGGTAATTCACAATTTATGTTCAAATTATTTTATTTATAGTACTATAAGGATCTTGATCTAATAGAAATTAAAGCAACATAAAAGATTATTATGATTCTGGTATATTAGCATATATCTCATTACTTATAGCATGGTTTTAATATTTCAGTAGTTCTAAAAATTAAATTAATTTTGAAACTTTGCAATTTAAAATTGTATGTATTAGATGAAAATTAAAACATACATAATARAGGTCATTTGATTTTGTCAGGAAGTTTGTAATTATTGGGTATTTGTAGTTGAGAGTTAGTGCTATATGTAAATCTAAGGTAAAGTTGGAACCAGAATTCTGAATTCCTGTATCTAATACCCAGACTACATGTGTATTTGTTCATTACTTTAAGTTCTAATAGAATTTTTMGTGCCAGAAAATATTGATGAATGACTGAAATATTTATTAACCTACATTTTATCCTTACTACTATAATGCTAAGTTTAAAATTTATAACATTTTTTCAGTATGTATTTATACGCATTTTCCTTCCACAAACACACAYGAACAAACTCAAACACATATACAAACTTAAAATGCTTAGTGGTTTAGAAGCAAGCATTTATAGACTTTGGTCTTCCATTATAGTTTATTGACAATTGAAAATAACCAAGTTTAATAGAAAAGTACACCATTATTTTTTTATAAGTGTTWAACATTTTTGTAACTTTTAGCCTGCTAAAAATACTGCTTTCCAGTATTATTAGTAAAGCCAACATCTGCRACATCTTCAAAGGGACTCTTAAAAAACAAAACTTTACAACTATACTTAAAACAATCAGTACAAAGCAGGTGATTCTGAAAAATGTCTATAAACAGTGTGAATTGCTTGGCTTCAATTACATTAGATTGTTCTCTAAGCAATGCAGTGGTAGGTATAAATTGCCCACTTTCATTTAAAATAACTAAAATTAACCAATGTAACTTTAGCTTTTAGGTAGGCAATATACAACATAAATATGTAAATATTTTCTATTTGAATTAGTTTTTTAAAAAGTAAGCATATATTTTATTTWAAAAAATCAAACATATCCAAAAAATAGGGGAGGATAGGCAAGCAATTATYTGGAGAGGTGTATTTTACTAGGTTTTGAATCATAATTATATTCTTATAAAATGGCAAATATTTTATTTATAGTCGCTAGATCATGAACCATTTGCTTTCCATGTATGTGTATATGCTTGTATAGCGAATGACAAGCAAGTATTATGTTTAATATTCTGGAAGTTAAACCCAGAGTAATGTCTTTCTCTTCAGGTATTATATTGTAAATTTTCCTAGCTATTTCAGTTATCATGTTTTTTTTTTTGAGGAAAAAAATTTAACTTTTTTATTCATGTCTGTGTTACTATATTATGGTTTTTCCTTACTTGTATTAAAATAAAAACTAGTTTGCTGGATCTTGAAAACTACAAGAGAATATTGACAATATAAATGACATAAAGGTATAGAATATAGAATAATATTTTATTATTTTTTATGAATGTTAGCTTAATTTTAGGTGTGAACATTCTAAAGTTGTGACCTGACATTAATTATAATAATAAGAGTAATTACTATAATTATTGTTGTTGTTAGTATTCTAGGTATCATTAACTTAACATGAGTGTTCATAGATGACTACACTCAAAAGTCAAGAACAGAAATTCCTTTAGAATGAAGTGATTCAAGGTTGAATGTAAGCAATGAATGGAAGGAAGAATGCAAATATACAAGGACTAACAGGACTAGCTCCCATTTCTGCGTAAACCTCTTTATAGTTTATTTGAAAAGGAAAACCATTAAAGTAAGGCAAGGTAACACACAAGCTTTCRCTCAGATTAGAAACCCAGCAGTAACTATTTAAAATGTTAACTGTTGTTTTATAGTAATTATCAGTTGAAACCATTATGTTGGCCCCTTGTAAGCTGATTCCTACTAAGGAACTGAAAAAAAAAAAAGAAGAAGAAGAAGAAGAATATTTTAATCATTTCTGCATTTTTCCTTCTGTGTTTGAAAACAGATACTTCATCCTAGTGCTGGAATGTAATGTTATAATGTTTATTGTAAGACCTGATCACTTGAAGAAATTGATTTTAAATAAAAATGAAACARCAGAAAGGATGTATTCTCTCTTCTAGTATTGGGGAAATTTGGAGCACCAATTCCATATCCAATGGAAGWTTTAATCTTTTTCATTGAAAAATGTCAACCTATGAATGAATTAACAGTTGATTTATGTAAAGTAAAATTCCCATTTATGATTCTATTACATGTACGTGACATGGTAATTTGCTTTGTGTGGATGATTTTATTCATTTATTATGTTTAAAGGGGCAGCTTGAAACATAAAACAAAGTTGGGTGTACTATTTAGATTTTCATTTCAAGTGAGAAAAACAATATAATACAGTAACAGATTTTAGTTTTAGAATATATTTGTTTCATTGGTTTATATCTAAAATTTTGGAACATACCTCTTTTTCAAGCATTGCTATAAAAATTGTAATTATCTATGATAAATCAATGATAAGGATGGAAAACAATAGAAAATAAATTACACTAGAATTTGTTAACAGTTATAAATGTTTTATCACTCTCAAATTTCTGGGTCTTAAATTTTCAATTTCCTTCAAACTTTTCAATTAGCCTTTTGTTTATACTAATAACTCATCTGTGAGTGAAGTTATCACGTGAAGTAAGACTATCAACAATAGCATTTTTCTCCTTGAATTATAATCATAAAATAAGAAGGACTAACTC